ATTCTATTTCTTCCTATCATCCTGAATTTTTATCAACGGGATAAGTCGCCACGATCGCGAGCATACTGAAAACATTTGGGGCCGCGCAGATAATCCTCGATTCCTTGAGTGGCAAGGTCTCGTTCAAGGAGTATGGCAATCAAAGATTTATCGAGGCCCCGAGCAAGGACGAGCTCGAATCGATGAAGGCCGCAAGGAAGCCTTGCAGCTGGATGGAGAAAACAAAAGACATTTTTTCTTTGGTTAGAGGCAGAGAAATAAATTTTTGGAATTTGGAGTGAAAACTTCGAGAACGAAGATGCGAGGGTTGGAACTGCCAGAAATTTGATGAGAATCAGCTAAAAGAGACTCATCAAGCTTTTGAGAGAAAGTTGTCACTTGTCACCATGTTTGCGATTCATATACTGTTTACACGGTCTGGTGTTCACGGGGAATTTTATTGCACAGCTCAAGCTCCTGAGCTTCCAAGTTTGTTCTAATGAGCTTCTCGAAGACCTGGTTTTTAAAACCCTTTTTCCTCACATTGACGTTAGCAAACTCTGTGGAAGGAGGAGGAAAGAAAACGACCTTAGAGCTACGGTTCCCAGTGGAGGCTTATTTTGTGGCGATTAGTACCGATGCTTTCTTTTGTCATCTCTCTCACTATGCAGGACAAGGGATTGATGATCGCCGCGTCGTTCTATCCTTCTAGCTCTTCGTTTTTTTTCCCTTTATCCTTTTCTTTCCTGGGAAGGTGATAGAAGCTCTTGCGATTATTCCTTGCCACAAGCTCTCATCACTTGGTTGAGTGTTTTCTCTCTTGTTTTTGTTTCGTTGGATTAACACAAGACCGTGACATGCGAATAACTCCAGTGACACGTCTGTGATGCGTAAAAGTCACGATCTTTACTTCACTGAAGCTCCAGCGCTCTCTCTAAAAGATTTCGCGACTTGTGATCTCGTCGAGGATGCACCAAAGCATTCGAACGAGCAAAGCTCCAAAAAACTCTTAGGTGAGATCGACAAAGAGTGCTGGAAAGAATTTGTTTTTCATTTCCCCTTTTGCTTTCTGGCTGACAGGCATTGAAAATCGCGAGCAAAGCAACAAAGGCATCGATTCTTTCACTGCTAGAAACCATCCAGCTTCGAAGAAGAAAGATGGCCCTCCCAGTCCCCAAGAGCCATCGATTCTATCCGGTTCTTCCCATGTTTCTACGCTTCCTGTACCGATCTTCGGTCGTCAATGGACAGCTCGAGCAGTAATAGTATCTCGCGTAGCTGCTACATGACGTTTTAAAATCCTGCGAGCGTTTTCAAAGGTCAATAAGAGAGCGAGAGATTGATTGATACGAAACAATATATAAAGTCAAGGGAAGCAGCAGTAGCGCGTACCTTTCCGGCTGACATTGCTTGCCACGAAGACAAGCTGCTGTTGCTATCTTGCTGCTGCTTTTCTTCTATTTGCTTTTGAAACTCTGCCTTCTCTTCTTCCTGGCAAGGAGAGAATGAGGATTTGCGCGCAAGGCAACAACACGAACCATTATTCTTTGTTGATCAGCAAACCAAGGTGCCAGGTTGCTTGGCAGCTTGACAATATCCTCGTCAAACAGCTCCAAGAACTGCTCGTTTGCGTAATGCGCTTTGTTCCCCGCGTAGCGTCTATACTGCCAGAGAGTGCTTCCAATTCAGGAACTTTGAGTAGAAATAGTAGAGAAACTTGCTCACCTCCTCTATAATTGATGTCAAATTCCACTTTTGTAGCCTCCTTAAGCAGCCGACAAAGGTTCCAGTTTGCTGAATCCCGGAGCTGAGACCCAACGAAGATGAATGATGAGCTTAAGACCATGGAGTGTAAAGGAACTTACGAGCATGTAACCATGATAGGATACATGGAATCGTCCAAAACAATTTCCAACGCGTCCTTCATCATGTTTTCGCTCACTGGTTTCCACGAGGCGGGCTTTCCCTCTCGCGCCCCTAGATGAATCTGTTGGCAATACCAATAAAAATCGTAAGTGATCGTCGGCCCAAAGCAAACTAACACAGGAAACAAAAGAAAAAGGCCAAAGAGAGAGAATGAAAAAAGAGAATATGAGAGAGAGAGAGCCTGCTTACCAAATTCACGGCTGACTGCTGGAGAAACGTCCCAATGACAGGACAAAGTGGCTCGGGAGAGAGATGCAGCAACGTCTTGAGATGGAGATTGGAGACAAAGGCGAGGCTGTGAACTTTGAGGGCGCTGGCTCTGTAAATTCCTGGCTCCACAATACCATAGTTCTCTGGAATGCTCATCACGGCCAGCGGAGCGGCTGAAGTAGAACTGCCATTTGAGACAACCATCATATCTGTGTGTGACCAGTTCTCCCTTTCAGAATCTCAGCGGGGATCCAACCTCGCCGGAATCCAAAAGAGGAAGATCCACTTAATCCTCTTGCGGTGAAGATCCACTTAATCCTCTTACCGTGCGCGAAGGTAAAAGAGCGCTTACACCTGTAGAGCCTTTGTGGCGGCAGAAGACCAGGCAATCAGCGTTTTATTCGACGACGCAAAAGGGTTAAAGGGAAACCATAAAGAAAAAAACGCAGCCATGTACCACGATCAGGAATCTGTTCCCGTTTGTAGTTTAGCTCCGCGTGGTCCCACTCGGCGGAACATCTCAGCATCACAAAATTGCCAGGTTCCTTATCCAGTAACACAAAACAACTTCTCCTCTGTGCCACAGAAAAGAAGATTGAATCAGGCAAAGCATCGAAAAATTTTCCAGGTGAACCACCAGAGTTACATACCTGACTTATCCAATAGAGGTCACATGAATGGAGTGATCCACAGATCCTGTAACATATGTGTCAAGATGGGGGTGCCAGTCTACTGAGGTTACTGGACCCTTGTGTTCTAGGCTTTTTAAAGCTTTTGGCCTCCCTCTGCCAAACTGCAACACGCCACCCACTGGTTTAGATTTCGGAAGTAAAGTCTAAAATGATGCTTACATTGATCAAAGGTGCGTATAGATTGTTTGAAGTCAGCAGCAAGCTGTTCCCATGAGAAGCTAGAGCCATTTCGTGCCGCGGCAACTTTAAGTCATCCGCACTCGTGAACCTTGACAAAATTACAAAATCAATCACGGAAGTCATAAAGTGACATTTCTTACTTGCTTGCATCGTATGATTGAAGAACTTGGCCTTGATTATGCAAACTCCATTCAAACACCTATCGCCACAAGTTGTGAGCACGCAAGTGGAGAAGAAGAAAGATTTTACGTACCTTGCCATCTGACCCCATCGTGAAGATGCTAGTCTGGTTGGTACCAAATCTGACACAGTTTATAGCACAACCATCGTGAGCTGGCCAGCCAGTGATTGGAAGATATCCATTCATGTCTGCAACGCATTAAAGAGGTAAACAACTCAATAAACCATCCATCAGGATACCAAAGAGCCGGATCACTCCGTCATCTCCTGCAGCGGCTACCATTTTTCCGTTGTGGTTGAAGCAAATGGAGGTCACAACTGGTGGATCTTCACCAAGTGGGAGCAAATTCTGTAAAATAACAGATTATCAAGACTACCTTTAAAACACTTGCCACGATTACCCAAGCCTTCCAGTTCTTCATGTTCCAGACTGATAAAGAACCAAATCGACGTCCAAGTTTATCTGCATTTGTGCTGATCTTGAAATATAATCACAATATCAAGCTGCGTAGACTGTTACCATTCAGCTGAAACGAAAAACGGGTCTGTAGGACTACACTTTATATCCAGAACTCTGCGTAGAACACGAAGTTTCAATATTTATCATCCATAGTACGATATATTTACCTTGGAAAAGCTTGGTTTGAAGAAAGATCACAGACAACCCGCTTAGCATCGACATTCCAAGCTTTGATACCAGCTTCTGAAGTTCCAAGCAACAGCTGCGAGAATCATTGTAAAGATAGGCTCAATGTAAATAATCTTACCAGACGACCAGATTTATGCTCCCAGTCCAGAGACATTATTTCAGCACCACAGTAGATGGTTGCATTTCGCGACGTTGAAACACTCGAATCATACGTCCATATTCTGCGCAAGAATCCGCTTTGTTTATTTTTTTTTCTTTTGTGAAGCGTTAGAGCAAAATATACCTGACAGTCCCATCAACTGATGCACTGGCAATATTGGATCCCGTTGGAGAAAAACGACACCTGGTTATTGGACTAGTATGGCCCGAGAAGCTTTCCTGCTCACAGTCACATAGCATATGGGTTTAGTTTCCAGAGTAAAAGAAAGGAAAAACAACAGGAAAATGGACATCTCCGATGCTCACCACCATCCCACCTGAGATCGGACAGTAACTTCCGTAAAATCTTCAAGTAAAAACACGTTCTCTGAAAATCAAAATATCAATCCAGCATGTTAAAGCTCACAATTCTAAGACGTACCAGCAGTAAGAGGTTCGAAGGCTACAGATCCAGATTCCCGAGATGTGGACAGTTCTGATGAGTTAGCCAAGTCCGATGTTTTCTCGACTGAAGAGATGTCAATATCTCCATCAGTCAATCTACTAGACTCCATCGACGTCGTAAGTTGATTCTTCAGAGCTCTGAAAGTGAAACAGTAAACACGAGACTATGAAGATGGCTGACATACGCTTTAAGCATTATGATCTCTTCCTCTTTTCTCTGTAGCTCGGCTTCAAGAGAACTGCATTTCTCTCGACTTTGAGTCAACTGCTGCTTGATCTCTCTATAGTTCGAGCGCTTAGAGATGAGCTTTAGCAATGCAGGAAATCGTGAAAATCGTTAAAGAACACAGGCGCATAGAAAAAGGTACGGAGCAAAGGATATGAATACCGTCGAAAAACTGGCAGAGAAAATTGCGAAACGAGACCATCAAAGTCTCCAGCCACTCTTTGGAGAAATAAACTTGGAACTGAGGGTCGGAGCTTGGATCTTTCACGTAAGGAAGAGCTGCAAAGAAGAAAAGCAAGGGACCACAAAGTGAGACTTAGCTAAAATTCCTTATCTAGAAATTTTACCAAACCACGCTTGCCAATCGTCTCCTTCGTTCAAGAGATTGCCCCCATACTGCTTGAAGAAATCCAGCACACGATCCATTCGCCCCTTCTGCAGCGCATGAACCAAGTAGAATCTCTTCAATCCAGTGTGGAGCTTCCTCGCAGTGGCTTGGCAATGCGAATCGCCCGGCGCAAACAGCGACAAGCTCAAGAAATCCATGAGCTCGGCGAGCTTCTCGATCTGGTACCTCGGAATATAGACATCAAACACGAGCTGCATTGTCTTCTCGACCTGGTAGCCCTGCGTCACATCCGCCGCGAGATCCACCTCGAACGCGCGAATCGTCTGCGTGAATCCACGAAACAGGAGGAATTCGCGAACCAGCCCCTCGGCATTCTTGTGCTCTTCCATCCAAGAACCCTAAACTCTTGTCCCAAGAACCCTAAACTTTAAGTATAAATTTGGGCTCTACATTTAGGGTTTGTGCAAAGGATATGGAGGGTGAGAGACTGTTAACAGACTGGGAGCTGTCCCAAAGTCCATTCCCGGAGCTTCCAATTAGGGGGAGCCAGCATCGCAGCCAAGTTCCAATTTGCCCTATAACTTTTCAGGTGTTGAGGCCGTGGCCTCGATTCGAGGAGGAAGTAGCAGCTATGGCACACGATCTGGATAACCAGGCACATAGAAATCAAGATCCTGCCTTGTTCATAGAGCCTTTAGACGAACCAGGTGACGAGGTAGGAGTAAGAGTTCCTTTAGAAGCATATATCTTTCCTCAGACAAACAAGTTGGCGGCAAGGCTAGGACTTGCGTTTAGATACAAGCAGAATGGAAGTGGACGGGGTTTGAGCTTTTCAGATCTCCTTATTCTCGACTCCAGCCAAGGACAGCCAACAGGAGCTAGAAAGATGCTCTCGCAAAGGGTTTTTGGGAATGGAGGAGCAAAAGGGGTTAGTTTAGCTGGTTATACAAGCTTGGATGAGCTTTTACGTGACGATTCAGTGAAGCAAGTGATCCAGCAGCTTTATGGCGATATGATCCTTGATGAAACCAAGTATGGCTTCATCACGGAGTACAATTCCACAGTTTTCTTCAGGCGGGTTGTAGGAACTCAGGCTTTGGAGTGTTCTCCGGTGGTGAGAGTGAATGAAGCACCGATCGAGAAGTTTCTCTTTGTGCTCCACCAGGCAGAGATGGACAAGAACATGAAGCCTGATTTTTCCAGGACAGTAGTGAAGGACACCTCTCTAGGTGATTACCACGTTCTGCAGAAATTCGCAATGTCTGAAGGTTTCTCAGTAAAACGATCTTTCGAGTTTGTCACAAACTCGAGAGATCTAACACAGTCAAAACCAAAAAGACGGCTGGTATATAATTCTCAGGGTATTGTCCGAGTTGATGACAATATGGTGGATGTCATGGATAATATGGTTGACAACTTTGAGTTAGCCATCAATAAATTGCCAACAATCGATATGGAAGAACTGGGTGTGACAGGTGCTGTTATTGGGTTTGGAAAGTATGGTAATGTGATAGAAGGAAAGGCACCGGATGGAACAAAGCTTGCACTCAAACTCTTTGATCTGAGAGCAAACGAGGCATGGGATGCTGCATTTCAGGAATTCCGAGTGTACCGCCGCCTAAAGTCTTTGCAAGGCTTGCATGTCCCGCGTTTGATAGCATTGGGAAGAATAGCTCACACCAGTATCATCTCTCTTGTGCTCACGGATGAGGCAGGCAGCGATGTTGTGCAAGAATTGCAGGGAAGGCAAGGCATGCTTGTGAGGAAAAAAATTGTGCAAGCTTTGTCAGAGATTCATAGCCTGATGGTTTTGCATAACGATGTCAAGCTCTCAAATATCTTGTGGAGTGGAGGCGATGCCAAGTTCATAGATTTTGATGCGAGCATATTAAACCCACCTATGTTTTCATATAAGCGTCTGGAGGAAATAGAGAGCTTGGAAAACCAGCTTGACGAAGGTAAATCTTTGCTTTGTATGTGTTAATGCTCATTCATTCATTTTTTAATTTTTTTTTCCTTGCAGTTATATTAGAGGCATGAATGAAACACTCACCGTTTTATACGTAAACAATTGTGCCTTGGACTATGACATGGCGAGCGGACGTGGCACTAGTGGCCACGTCACCGACCGCAATAGCTGGGATTGGACAGTGCCTTCGTCTCTGCCACAAAGGAAGAGCAGCACTCGATCGATCTTCTTTCGTTTTTGCACTAGAATTCGATGGTAAGGACCTCAAGCTCTTGAATTTGCTTCTCCAGGCAGAGTCGCTGGACCGTATCACTGTGAAGAATTCGGCACTTCTCTCGTCGAGCTCGACCCCAGATAAATGGAAACTAAATTGATCGTCGTGGGAAGAACTTATCTCTGATCTTTGCCGTTGTTGCTGCTGCTGCTGCTGTTGCCGCTGGATTATGAAGCTAGCATTTTCTTTCACCCATCTCCTGAGCAGTTTCAGATAACAGCCATTTCTCGTGCTCTTTCCACTCTTTGTAAAGATCTGCCTCATTCTTCCTGTGAGGATCTCTAAAACCTCATACCACATTGAGTACTACTGCGAAACTTAAAAACAAAATTGTCACCTCTTTCAGAGAGAGAATTGGAGGAACAAGTCACGGTCACCTTGACTGGTGGAAGAACGTTCCTATATCACACGTTGCCCACAAGAAATTTCCACTGAAAGTTGAGTCAAGCCACGGCCTTGACGCCAGAAACTGTGGGATCATAAGAACTTGTCCAGAAACTGTGGAGAACATAAAGACTTACACTGAGGGACACTGTTCACGTCAAAAGCCTGCGCAGTCCAGTCTCGCCTTGGCTTGACGCGATCTCTTTCCTCCTTTATCTTTGTTCACGTTTCGAGACAGATGAAGATCTGGTCGTTCACCACCGCGGACGGCAGAAGCTTCTCGGCGTCTAAACCTTTGCAACCGTATGTGGTCGTTCTTGGGCCCTGTGGTTTCGTCCTGCCGAACAGAAGCGTCATGACGACTTGACAAAATCTTAGACAAGTTCCTACTTCACTGCATGAAGAGCTTTGTTTTTCCTCGGCTTGCAAAGAAGTGTTGTTTAGCTTTCCTGCAATCTCACTCTCACCAGGATCGCTGTTGTCGCTGGCCTCTGCGTCAGAATCCGATGCGGCATTTCCATCAGAATCGGATTTATGTTGTGCTATATACTGCAGAATAGCATGGATAGAATGAAAACCCACGAAGGTACTACCAATACTTGCCTGATCCAAATCTTCTTGGTTTTGATGAGTGAAGCCACTTGCGGCCAGTTCCTTATCCAAGGCTCCGGCTGTTCTCGCCAAGTTTACAAAATCTGGTCTTGTGTCGTCTTCGTCCACATTATTATCAATCCCTTGCAAAGTTCGAGCATTGCCGCCCGGAACATAGTTAAACCTGAAGAACAGCTTCTGCTTAACAACCTGTATCAATAAACATGCTTAAAAAGCATACCTTTTCAGAAAGAACTTGTAGATACAATCTACGTCCCGATCAAAGTATCTGTAACGACAAAGAGAGTTTTAGACTCTCTGGTAGCACACATGAATAAGACTCACGATTCCGCATTCCGGTGAGAGATTGAAACCATCTGAGGAAAATCGATCATTGTAACCTTTTCGTCATCATCTATCTGCCAGAACTCTTTCAGAGAAAATCCAAAGCAAAAGGCGTGCATTCCTTACCAAGAGATTGAACTCGTTGAAATCACAGTGAATAAGGCCGTGTTCAGCAAGACGAACGATCAGGCTAATTACCGTGTCAAACACGAGTGCTGGATTCTTCAGCTCTTTCACTTGCACCCTGCAATAGTAGGAATTAATCTAGTTTCATTCATTGCAATCATCAAAAACACAACTTACAGAGGATAGCCTGGAACAAGAGTCATTAAAACACAGTGTCGATTCCAATCAACTGCTTTTGGAGTGGGAAATCCATGTTCATGCAGAGCCTGAACAAAGCATAAAAACAAAAAAAAAAGCTGAAAGATTGAAAGCCACTACCTTCATGAAAGCAAATTCCTTGAGAGCCGCAAGACGTGAAAGATATAACCAGTTAAAGCTACTTCGATGTTTGAGGTAGTCTCGCTTTGATTTTACAGCTCTGAATGAAGTTCGTCCCAGACGATGGAGCTTGAGTGCTAAAGTTTGTCCATCTTCAGCAACTACTTCAAAGATATCTGGAAAAAGAATTTGCCAATGATCATCAGCTAAAGAGACTCTCTCTTTCTGTATACCGGATTCTTTGCCAACACCAATTTGACGACCGACTCCCACGATCAATCCACGATTCACCATGGTTTTGATCGCCAGAAAATCATAACCAAGATTTGTGAGGCGATAGCCATCGTCTACCAGCAAAACACAAAAAGAAAATCAGCTATGGTAAAGCCAGAAAAAATCCTTACACTTCGTAGAGTCGTGATGAACGAGTTTGTGTCGCAAAAGAGTTCGTATGTTCTTGTAAGCTCCACCAGTCCTGGACGGAAAGAACTCTCGAAAAACTAGACAAAAGGAAACGAGAAAATCACTTACTTGAGCCCGGCAATGCGATCGATAAGCTCGGCAGGAACGATTTCATGCTGAAATGCTCGAAGAAATCAGGCAAAGAGGAAGAAGATCACAGATCGCGCTTACATTCTTCATCCCCATCTCCACAGCCGTGAGAACACGAAATTCATCCTTGGAGAGATAGCGCAGCACATTCACGTCAAGCTTCATCTCTAGGGCTAGGGCTTTAGCAAGCAGAGAAGGTTTTGGTTCCCAGGAATCGAGCCTTGCCAGAACGAGAGCCGAATATCCTACGAATTATTTCATTCGCGCTGTCCTCTCCAGTGCTAGCTAGAAGTAAGCCGTAGCACTAGGGCTTCTACGCGCGACGCGGACGACGATCCATCGATCGCTCGGCGACCAGGTATGCGAGGCCTGCCGATCGCCACGATTCTCTTCTGCGTCTTCATTCTCGTGCCCCGATCGTCGTCGCAACCTCCCACGGACAGCCTCCCCAATGTGATTTACTACAACACCATGTCTTTCTCTCCGGGCAGCGCCTTTGAGCGTAATCTTGATGCCGCGCTCCAATCGGTCATCTCCAGCTCCAGATCCAGCCCCAGCGCTGCTCTGGGAGCCAGCCCAGACGTGGCATACGCGCGGGGCGAGTGCTACAACAATCTCTCCCCGCAAGATTGCGTGTTGTGCCTTGGCATGGCGAATCAGACAATCCGTGGTCAAGCACCAAGAACGATTGGAGCGCGCCTCTTTTCCAATTCCAGCGATTATAGCTGCTACCTTCGCTACGAAAACTACGATTTTCTAGGTACGTTTTTCATCTCTTTTTCTTGGTTTTCTCTCATAGATATGTTTGTGTGGATCAGGAGGAGTTACTCCCAGAATTCCAGAGGGAACTATTGAAAATGCTCCTGCGGCTCCACTACTTCGAAACGCCGCCCAAGCAAGTAAGTGGTTTCATTTTCAAAGCAGTGAGCCTGAGAGTTTTGACTTTATTCTTCCAGGCTTTCCACTGGGCATAGTCGTGGGTGTGCTTGCAGGCGTTTTGGTTACTTTAGTCGGTATCTTCGTGTTCTTCTGCTTACGTCGTAGGCGTTCTTTGAGGATTCGTCGAAAGTTCCATCTGGATACCTTTGATCTTCCTGGTATGAATTTCAAAGTTTTCTCTGCCCCCAAAGTTGACACCACTGGTTTGAAGTTATTGATGGGATAAGTAACTTTACGTACCATGAGCTCGAGACGGCAACAAAAGGCTTCTCGGACATTAACAAGCTTGGTCGTGGTGCATTTGGAACGGTTTTCAAGGTTGTAGTGATCATAATTTGTTACTGACTTAACATCTCTCGGTTTGCAATGCAGGGAGTGCTGAAAGACGGTAGCGAAGTTGCCGTTAAGCAGCTGGACTTGCATTCCAAACAGGGACAGCGAGAGTTTGTCAACGAGCTGTCTATTATAACGAGCATTCAGCACAAGAACCTTGCAAAACTTCGAGGTTATTGCCTTGACCGAGACGATCGAATACTAGTGTATGAATTTCTAGAGAACAAGAGCCTTGATCAGCTATTATTTGGTAAGAACTAGATTACTTCCTTATTGGTTAGTCTCTCAATTTTGTGATTGTAGAATCGGCTACTGGAATACTTTTGGACTGGCCAACACGCTTTCAAATCGTCCTTGGTGTTGCGAATGGCCTTGCTTATCTTCACGAAGGATCCCAAAAGCAGATCATCCACCGCGACATAAAAGCAAGCAATATCCTTCTCGACCATAGACTACATCCAAAAATCTCGGACTTCGGAATCTCCAAACTCTTCAACCAAGAGAAAGGATTTACGAGCACCGTGATCGCCGGAACAATGTAAGGCCAGTTTCTTCTCATTTCTCCTCCTCATTATTCGATCTTTTTGCAGGGGCTATCTCGCTCCAGAGTATGTGCTGGGTGGATTGCTGACTGTCAAAGCCGATGTGTATAGCTTTGGAGTCCTGACGCTGGAGATTGTCAGCGGACAAAGATGCAGCGACCGAAAAGATGGCCGCCTGCTAGTTCACTCGGTAAGTTACGAGATTTATCAAAACGTTCTAAGATCTATTGTTGTTTTTCTTAGGCATGGATTCTTCACGAAAACAGCAGCGAACTCGAGATTGCTGACCAGAGACTAGACTTGGAACACAACTCCGAAGAAATCTTGCGAGTTATCCAAGTCGCTCTCGCTTGCACTCACGAGAACTCGGCCTCTCGTCCATCGATGGGGGACGCTGTTGCCATGCTCTCCGGCTACAAGCAAGTCATAATCGCTCCCAGATCCCATGGTGCCTATCTAGATTATCTCAGCAGCAACGATACAGATAGTTCTCGCTTGTTGACAACGTCCAACACATTCGAGCCGGGAACGAGTTTTAGCATTGAATCAAGGCCATAGTCGAGCGACATTTTTACGTGTAAATTAACGTGTCATAGAATGTTTTTTTAAAGGCTAATTACAATTTTGAAAATCATATTTTTGGCGGTAAAAGTTTGCTCAAATTGTAACGGAAGATCGACACCGAATAACGAACAATTTTTGATATATTCTTGAGCGAAACTATTCTGATGGACACATGATTTTTGTTTTAACAATGTTTAAACAATTTGACTCTTGATCCAGGCTTTGAGAATCATTCCACACTCTACTGCAATGTTTCTACTTTGAACTGTGCCTCTTGATCCATTCATGGTTGAGGATCTCCTTGATTACGAGCCTGTTGTCGGCGTCCCCAGCAGTCATACCCCTGATCAAATCTCGGGCTCCATCCGAGAGCCATCCCAGCAAAACACGCCGTGGTGGACGTCCGAGCCACTGCTCATCACGCTCTCGAATATCCTCCTCGTCTCCTCCCTGCGAAGCTTGAGAAATGGCGTTCGCGCCGTGAGACAGTGATACAAAACCATTCCCAGACCCCAAACGTCCACCGCTGGAGTGTAACATCCATCGCCTAGCATCGCCTCTGGAGACATGTAAACCCACGTCCCGATGCCCGAAACCCGCCACGGATTCGCAATACAGCACGCCCGAAATCGCACAGCTTGGGCACACAGCAGTCATCGTTTGATTCTCGATCAGCCAGCAACACATTCTCCGGCTTCACGTCGCAGTGGATGAAGCCTTCCTCGTGAACTTGTCCCAGTGTCTTTCCGAGCGGCGCGATGATCTTTGCAGCTTCATGCTCGCTTAGAACGCCCTTTAGCGCGATCCGCTCGTAGAGGTTATAGTCGCAGAGCTCAAGAACAAGGTGCCGGACTTGCTTGCGATCGGGCAAGCGATCGGGTAAGCTCTCTTCGAGGTGGATGATTCCAGCGTTGGAATACCCCAGGGTCGCCAACGTTCGATCCTCCCGATCGAAATATCCATCGCCACTGTTGTCAAGGATAGTCTTCACGGCAAAAGCTTGTCCATCTTTCCTGCGCAGAACCTTGAACACGCTGGCCTGGCCTCCGAATCCGATTATCTTCTTCACCTGGTATTTTTCCGCCAGAGCTGGGTATTCGTTGCGAAGCTTGTTGACGCCCAGCCACGAGTGTAGCTTCTGGGGTTTCTTGGGTGGGCATAGGTATTCCTCCACTCTGAAGCAAATTCCTTGAGAGCCGCAAGACGTGAAAGATATATAGCCAGTTAAAGCTACTTCGATGTTTGAGGTAGTCTCGCTTTGATTTTACAGCTCTGAATGAAAGACGATGGAGCTTGAGTGCTAAAGTTTGTCCGTCTTCAGCAACTACTTCAAAGATATCTGGAAAAAGAATTTCCCAATGATCATCAGCTAAAGAGACTCTCTCTTTCTGTATACCGGATTCTTTTCCAACACCAATTTGACGACCGACTCCCACGATCAATCCACGATTCACCATGGTTTTGATCGCCGGAAAATCATAACCAAGATTTGTGAGGCGATAGCCATCGTCTACCAGCAAAACACAAAAAGAAAATCAGCTATGGTAAAGCCAGAAAAAATCCTTACACTTCGTAGAGTCGTGATGAACGAGTTTGTGTCGCAAAAGAGTTCGTATGTTCTTGTAAGCTCCACCAGTCCTGGACGGAAAGAACTCTCAAACTAGACAAAAAGAAACGAGAAAATCACTTACTTGAGCCCAGGAATGCGATCGATAAGCTCCGCGGGAACGACTCGAAGAAATCAGGCAAAGAGGAAGAAGATCACAGATCGCGCTTACATTCTTCATCCCCATCTCCACAGCCGTGAGAACGCGAAATTCATCCTTGGAGAGATAGCGCAGCACATTCACGTCACCAGGAATAGAGCCCTTGCAGAACGAGAGCCGAATATCCTACGAATTGTTTCATTCGCGCGGTCAAAAAGCAAACAAAGGACTCTCCTAGAAGTAAGGCCTAGGGGAGGCGCGGAGCGATCGGCGACAAGGTATGCGAGGCCTACCGATCGCCACGATTCTCTTCTGCGTCTTCATTCTCGTTCCCCGATCGTCGTCGGAACCTCCCACGGACATTAGCCCCAATGTGATCTACTACAACACCATGTCTTTCTCTCCGGGCAGCGCCTTCGAGCGTAATCTCGATGCCGCCCTCCAATCGGTCATCTCCACCTCTAGATCCAACCCCAGCGCTGCTCTGGGAGCCAGCCCAGACGTGGCATACGCGCTGGGCGAGTGCTACAACAATCTCTCCCCGCAAGATTGCGTGTTGTGCCTTGGCATGGCGAAGCAGACAATCCGTGGTCATGCACTAAGACCGATTGGAGCGCGCCTCTTTTCCAATTCCAGCGATTATAGCTGCTACCTTCGCTACGAAAACTACGATTTTCTAGGTTCGTTTTTCATCTCTTTTTCTTGGTTTTCTCTCATAGATATGTTTGTGTGGATAGGAGGAGTTACTCCCAGAAATCCAGAGGAAACTATTGAAAGTGCTCCTGCGGCTCCACTACTTCGAAACGCTCAAGCAAGTAAGTGGTTTCAATTTCAATGCAGTGAGCCTGAGAGTTTTGACTTTATTCTTCCAGGCTTTCCACTGCGCGTAGTCGTGGGTGTGCTTGCAGGCGTTTTGGTTACTTTAGTCGGTATCTTCGTGTTCTTCTGCTTACGTCGTAGGCGTTCTTTGAGGACTCGTCGAAAGTTCCATCTGGATCTTCCTGGTATAATTTTGAAAGTTTTCTCTGCCCCCAAAGTTGACACCACTGGTTTGAAGTTATTGATGGGATAAGTAACTTTACGTACCATGAGCTCGAGACGGCAACAAAAGGCTTCTCGGACGATAACAAGCTTGGTCGTGGTGCATTTGGAACGGTTTTTAAGGTTGTAGTGTTCATAATTTCTTATTGAACATCTCTCGGTTTGCAATGCAGGGAGTGCTGAAAGATGGTAGCGAAGTTGCCGTTAAGCAGCTGGACTTGCATTCCAAACAGGGACAGCGAGAGTTTGTCAACGAGCTGTCTATTATAACGAGCATTCAGCACAAGAACCTTGCAAAACTTCGAGGTTATTGCCTTGACCGAGACGATCGAATACTAGTGTATGAATTTCTAGAGAACAAGAGCCTTGATCAGCTATTATTTGGTAAGAACTAGGCTACTTCCTTATTGGTTAGTCTCTCAATTTTGTGATTGTAGAATCGACTACTGGAATACTTTTGGACTGGCCAACACGCTTTCAAATCGTCCTTGGTGTTGCGAATGGCCTTGCTTATCTTCACGAAGGATCCCAAAAGCAGATCATCCACCGCGACATAAAAGCAAGCAATATCCTTCTCGACCATAGACTACATCCAAAAATCTCGGACTTCGGAATCTCCAAACTCTTCAACCAAGAGAAAGGATTTACGAGCACCGTGATCGCCGGAACAATGTAAGGCCAGTTTCTTCCCATTTCTCCTCCTTATACTTCGATCGTTTTTCAGGGGCTATCTCGCTCCAGAGTATGTGCTGGGTGGATTGCTGACTGTCAAAGCCGATGTGTATAGCTTTGGAGTCCTGACGCTGGAGATTGTCAGCGGACAAAGATGCAGCGACCGAAAAGATGGCCGCCTGCTAGTTTACTCGGTAAGTTACGAGATTTATCAAAAGTTTCTAAGATCTATTGTTGTTTTTCTTAGGCATGGATACTTCACGAAAACAACAGCGAACTCGAGATTGCTGACGAGAGACTAGACTTGGAACACAACTCCGAAGAAATCTTGCGAGTTATCCAAGTCGCTCTCGCTTGCACTCACGAGAACTCGGCGTCTCGTCCATCGATGGGGGACGCTGTTGCCATGCTCTCCGGCTACAAGCAAGTCATAATCGCTCCCAGATCCCATGATGTCTATCTAGATTATCTCAGCAGCAACGATACGGATAATTCTCGCTTGTTGACAACGTCCAACACATTCGATCCGGGAACGAGTTTTAGCACTGAATCAAGGGCATAGTCGAGCGACATTTTTACGTGTAAATTAACTTGTCATAGAATGTTTTCTTAAAGGCTAATTACAATTTTGAAAATCATATTTTGGCGGTAAAAGTTTGCTCAAATTAGATTTCCGTGCCTAGATTTGCCACTGCCGGTGCTGCTGCTTTCCGCTACGCAAGTATCTCCCGGGGCTCTTCCTCTCCAGGAAGTTTGGCTCCTCATGTCACGATTGCTCACCGCTTTCTTCAGATCACAAATCTTGCGTAAGCATCATATCTCTCGAGAGTAAGAGTTACTAAGGAGTCACAAACCTGAAGAGTATATGGACGTCTACCATGAATAGAATCCTCCTCCGCAATACTTCCAAGACCTCAAGTCAAAAAACTATTTACCAGGACTGTCTGTGACAAAGTCGAGCTTCCTTCAGCTCTTGGACGAGATGTTAACTCTGCCTAGATGGACAACTAAGTGTAAGCTGGAAATGTTTTTCAAAGAGCTTCTAAGTTGTTTGTGCGTATAAACATTGTAGGATTACCTTGGAGAACTGATTGAGCCGGAAGGTTTATTGGATGCTTTCGCAAGCTATTCCGTCGGAAAATCCGGCTGGAGCCGTGGAACCGACTGCCGCACTTCTTCCAGCTTGTGAAGCTCCTCCTTGAGCCTCCGGAGTGTTGGATATGGCGTCTGTGTGCAAAACATATAAGATTTTTTTTTGCCTCTTGAGATGGACGAGAAGCTTACCATATCGACCTTGTAACGCTCCGCGTTGCCGATCTGTGGGATGACAAACACATCAGCCTGGAGTGACAAGAACCAAACGAAGATCCCGTCAGTTACGAAGGACAAGTGCAAAGATTTTCTAGAATGAAAGAACATACGAGTGTGAGTGTGTCTCCAAAGCAGTATTTTCCCGATGTCTTCTTCACGATCTCCTCGAGAGCTACATGAAAGTCCAAGACACTTGTGAGTTGCGGGGTGTGAAAGCAGAAAGCTCACCGTTGAAACCAATGACAACCCAGTGTTGCGCCCACTTGAGTCTCTCCTCGTCGCCAAGTTTCTCCTTGATCATATTCTGCCAAAGAGCAAGGAAGGATTCAGCCTTGCTATGAAAAGCAGGCAAAACTTACCATAACGCGGCCTCCACTCTGCAGAGGCTGAATATTTGACGCGACGAGATTGACAATCTTGCAAATGTAACAATCAAAACATGAGAAACAAATCGAGCTAAAACCGATAATACTTTTTACCTGGCGAATTGTCGCTCGCTGCTTCACGTTTTTAGGCAGGAGTGGCTTCTCTGGGTATTTTTCTTCCAAATACTACGTGATAGCAATTCCACAAGAGATCACTTCCAAGAGAAGAAAAAAACAATAGCAAACCTCCACAATTGCTACAGAGTCGATCAAAAGACCATCTTCTTCGGTTTCTAGTGCAGGCACCATACCCAAGGGATTGATCTTCGAAAACTCTGAGAATCACAAGGGATTTAACCCCGAATGCCACACAAAACAAACTCTACCATCGTCGAGCCGACCATTTGCGAAACCCACAGCCTGGTACTCGTATGGAATCCCTGATCAAGTAGAAAACTGCGATCACATCCAGAGGGAGAAAGAGAAAAACCTTTCAATGCAAGCGCCAGCCTCACTCGCCAACCACAAGAGCTCCCCCAAAACGTGTAGAGCCTCATCTTCCCTCCACAAAACCTAGATTTTAGAACCAATTTAGCCTAGATCCGAGGTATATCCCCGCCACGTCACTCTCTAACGGAAGATCTACACCTTCCACGTGTCCAAGCCGAGTTTCGTAACGAACAATTTTTGGTATATTCTTGAGCGAGACTTTGTTTGGCCACATGATTTTTGTTTTCACAATGTTTAAACAATTTGACTCTTGATCCACTCATTCTCAGGCTTTGAGAATGATTCCACAATCTACTGCAATGCTTCTACTTTGAACTGTGCCTCTTGATCCATTCATGGTTGAGGATCTCCTTGATTACGAGCCTGTTAGCCGCTCTCAAATATCCTCCTCGTCTCCTTCCTGCGAAGCTTGAGAAATGGCGTTCGTGCCGTGAGACAGTGATACAAAACCATTCCCAGACCCCAAACGTCCACCGCTGGAGTGTAACATCCATCGCCTAGCATCGCCTCGGGAGCCATGTAAACCCACGTCCCGATGCCCGAAACCCGCTACGGATTCGCAATACAGCACGCCAACCCGAAATCGCACAGCTTGGGCACGAGCGGATCGCGCTAAAGGGCGTTCTAAGCGAGCATGAAGCCGCAAAGATCATCGCGCCGCTCGCAAAGACCCTGGGACAAGTTCACGAGGAAGGCTTCACCCACCGCGACGTGAAGCCGGAGAATGTGTTGCTGGCTGATCGAGAATCAAACGATGACTGCTGTGTGGAGGTTATAGTCGCAGAGCTCAAGAACAAGGTGCCGGACTTGCTTGCGATCGGGCAAGCGATCGGGTAAGCTCTCTTCGAGGCGGATGATTCCAGCGTTGGAATACCCCAGGGTCGCCAACGTTCGATCCTCCCGATCGAAATATCCATCGCCACTGTTGTCAAGGATCATCTTCACGGCAAAAGCTTGTCCATCTTTCCTGCGCAGAACTTTGAACACGCTGGCCTGGCCTCCGATCCGAATCCGATTATCTTCTCCACCTGGTATTTTTCCGCCAGAGCTGGGTATTCGTTGCGAAGCTTGTCGACGCCCAGCCACGAGTGTAGCTTCTGGGGTTTCTTGGGTGGGCATAGGTATTCCTCCACCGCCGGGCGCTTGAGAGTGATCGCATCCATCTCTTCGATCGATAGATAGGAAAAAAAAAGAAAACGAAGAATATACCTGGAATGTACTGATTCTGAATAAAAATAATGTACTGTACTAATCGCGGTTAGACCCCCTTTCAATCGCGGCCATCAAGAAGAAGGCGCCTTGATCAGATATTATTTGGTAAGAACGGTTTGTCTCCCACTCGCAACACCAGGGACGAGTTGAAAGCGTGTTGGCCAGTCTCCAGGCCTTGCTCATCTTCTCGAAGGATCCCAAAAGCAGATCATCCGTCGAGACATCAGAGCAAGCAATATCCTTCTCGATCATAACATCCAAAAATCGAATCTCCAAACTCTTCAACCAAGAGAGGGATTTACGAGCACTGTGGCTGCCAGAACATTGTAAAGCCAGTTTCTTCTCCTTATATTTCGATCTCTTTGCAGGGGATATCTCGCTCCAAAGTATGTGCTCGCTGACTGTCAAAGTATCGCTTTTGGAATCCTGGAGATTGCCACCGGACAAAGATGCAGGGACCGAAAAGATGGCCCTCCACTGCACAATCCGTGCAAGGGAAAGTCGAATCTGACTGCACCACCGCTTTCGGGTCTGCCCCTGTCGCTACAGAGATCGCTGAAACTAAAAGACAACTCTAAGAAATCTTGCGAGTTATCCCAAGAGATCATCCATACTGTCCGGCTACAAGCAAGTCACAATTCGCTCCCAGATCCGAGATTTTATCTCAGCAGCAACCATACATATAGTTCTCGCTTGTTGAAAACGTTCGAGCGGGCTACGGAATCATTTAAATGATATGGTCAACTAAATCATCTAAAAACTCTTGCCACCTTACATTTCATATGAATAAGGGTATTTGTTGCGAAACTAGTCCAGCACCAAGTGTAGCTGCAAGTCTCTCTTGGAAAAAAAAACAATGTATGTATATCATCGCAGCCGTTCGTTAAGCCCTATATAATCACGGCCACTTATAACTCGTTCTAGAAGATCTCATGTAGTTTTGGCGTCCAGGCACTCGTAGAAGAGGATGTAACCATGATCCGTGTTGTTGGAGTACTCCTGCGTGGATCCAAAGAAAGTTTGCACGTACGTCTCGTCGATGATCTCTACGTTCTCGTCGTCGAAAAACAGCCAGTGGCTGTGGCTCTTGACGAGGCTGACATAGTGGCCGTGATTCGGACCGCTGCCGACGTGAACCACCACCGCAAACAGCGAGTACTCGGACTCGGAGCCTGGAGCATCGTCGGTGGTGTTGCAAAGCTTGAGCTCCAGCGGAAAGACCACTCTGTACGAGAGTTTCTTGTATCGGCCCAGTTGCTCTATGTACTTGAAGCGTTTGAGGTGCAGGGCGAGGATCCGAGGCGGTGTTTTGATCTTCATCCTCTTTTGAGCCTCCTGCAAGCTGGGAGGTGGTCAGAAACGAAGAGAAGCGAAGAAACGGTGATGGATGAAATTGAGTTTTACCTGCAGCATTTGTCGCAGAAGAACTTGTCCTCGGCGTTCAGCGTCTCGGTGGAGCTGAAGTTGCGAAGGCAGCTGGTGATGGAGCTGTTTTGCTCGATGTCTAAGCTCAAGTCGAGAAACTTCTCGTCCCGCGCTGTGATCGTCTCGCACCGTAAGCACCTCGTCTCGTTTGTGAGGAATCCCTGAGGATTCAAAGCAAAGAGCTCGTTTATTTCCTACTGGATGGAAACAGGAGAAGAAGAGAACCGGACCTGGAAGATTTTGTGAACCCAAGTGAGCGGATGATCTTGGTCTGCTGCTGTTCCATTGGCCACACCGTTTTCTTTTTTCTCGGCAGGTTTCAGATTTCCCGAGGCTGTCCGTCCCGACTTGGCCTCCTTCTCCAAAGTCTCAACTAATTCATTCAGCAAAAAGTTTAGAAACTCGTGTGCGTCCTGCCAGTGTAGTGTTGGACTTCTTTTACCAGAGGAAAAAAAAAGAGAACACAAAGGAAAACCAAAGATCACGAACTCGCTCTTTTCTCGTACGTACCTGGTGCATGTAGCTCCGGAAGAGCTCGTTTTGTTTCTTCACTCGCTGCACGAATCGCTTTGGAGCTATAACACCCGTTTTCTTCTTCTGGGAGTTTATCTGCAAAAGAAGAAAAAAGAATGGAATGATCACGAAAATGCCCCAGAGAATTCTTACCTGCGAGAAGAGGTCTGCAAGGCAAGTGAGCAAATTCTCTTCCGGCTCTCCGCTGGATTTCGTCCGGCTGTAGTACTCTAGCAGCTGATCCCGGAATGGGACACAAAAGTACAGTGCCTAGACGCGAGGAATTCAGACAAGTGCCTATAGAAGACGCTAGAATCAAACCTGGAGAACGCTGTTGCAATAGCAAGTGTTGCCAAAGTTTTCCAGCCCAAAATACCTCTCCCCCTCTGGGAATTGGTCCCCCAGCGCCTTCTCCAGCTTGGAGCCCGTTGCTCCCATCGAGAAAGTGCCTAGCCCTAATTTCTAAAATGCGTAGTTCAAAGGGGAAAAAGAGGATAAAAGTAGATTTGCTATTGAATATTCGCAGAATATTAGCTAGGGTTCTTATAATCACAATTTAGGGTTCTTAGGATAAGATTGTAGATCGAATTGATGGGGCCTCCTCAATGTTCTAAAGCAATATAGGGAAGAAAAATATATCTTAGTGAAACATCAGATTTTCATTACAGAGATTCTTGAGGGCCTTGGAAAGACCTAAGTTCATGCAATGAAAATTTGAAGTTTCACTTAGGATTTTAGAAATCATTTTAGAAATTTAGGGCTGGGCGCTTTAGAAATTTTTTCTTTTGTAAAGAATTGGCATGGACAACAAATCGGCTCGTCACCTCACGTCTTGAATGCACGCCCCCCTGTGGCTAATTGGAATGTCACATTTGCTGCCGCTGCTAGAATTTGGGATGTAAACTCCTGTCCCGGGCCTGCTCGCTTGCTGCCAGGAGGACGATTGAGCGGAGGAGCTTTGCGTTGCCGACGAAACTGTGGATGGTGGCTGCTTCGATCCTCCAGAAGCGCTGGAGCTGGACTGCTGCTGAGCATGCTTGGCTGACAACACCGGCTTTGAGGCCATGGGAGGAGCCGTCGCCTCTTGGCATTGCTGTTCTAGGCCGAGGAACACGAGGATGCGCTTGAATCGGTCACTAGCAACGGCGTATGCAATCTCATTGTCCGCAGCAGCGTTCTGTTCGAATTTAAGCACGGATCTAGAGATGAGAACAAGCAAAGTCAGCCGCTTGGGAGTATAGTTTGATTTGGTCATGCATACCCGGCTTCAAGTGTCACTTGGCCGATGGCCTTGCCGCTTACTACGAAAGGGTCCCCCAACAAGGAGACAAGGCACAGCGGCTGCACGGCCGTGTCCTTTTCTTCAATGGATAGAGATTTTCCCTGATGATGCAAGCGTGGAAAATTTTAGAAAAGAAAAACAAATGGGATCAGACCTCGTCAATAGCATGGAACATGAAAAAGTTTGGCCGCACTTCGCCGGGAAAAATTCCACGTCCTTGACCAGAGAGGTAGTCCATCATGGAGTGCACCAATTCTGGTATAGACCGCGGGGTTTTCTCTGCAAGAAAAAGCAACAATCAGATTCAATCTGGACTTTGCTTGTTGTGCTTACTGTTCGTCGCCGTCTCTTGGGAGGTTTTTAACTTCCCACGTATGCAGGTGTGATCGCCTTAGTGGAACATACACGACACGACATTAGTAAATAGACGAAATCGAGAAGTGCCTGGCGATGCCAGTGTACAAAAGTAACAAAACAAAACGAGAGCACATACCTGTAGTTGTCCTGCCCAAGATTTCAGTTGCCAAGTGCTCCATTTGAGCTCTTTTAACTTCACCGAACACGTGATTGCACACCTGGCCCCCAGAATTATGTGTTAGTGAACGAGCCCATTTCGTCACCAAGACATTTCATAACTGTACCTTCTGGCTACTCTCAACAACTGCAGCTTGTTTGTCGGCCTGTGCTTCTTTAACGCGTGATGACTCTGGAAAAGAAAAATTCAACACCACAGCACATTCAACACCGACACAAATCAAACACTTTCTGCCAAATACCAACTTGATCACACTTACCACCTTGGAGGCTCTCGTTGACATTGCTGCTAGGCGGGTCCTCATCACGCTGTTGCGAGTCGGGAGAAACACTCGCAGATGAAATGCCGGCCACAGTCTCCTTGCTCTCTTCAGCGTCTACTTCTGTAGGGTCCGGCTCCTTCTTCCCGATTGGATCACTTGGAGGTGGCGGTGGCGGTGGCGGTGGGACGTTAACTCTTCCCTTCGGAAGTGGTCGTCTCGAGCCGGAAAAGTCTCTACGTGGGTGACCACCACTGTTGTTGATCTGCGCGTAAGGCTTTTGCTGCATCGCGGGCACCTTTGCATTGCCATTGAGAGGCATTTGCTGCTGCTGCTGCTGCTTTCGCGTCAGTACTTGCTGGAGAGAAAAGAGCACCTCCGCCACCGAGAAGTACTGCTGCATATGAAGAACGCCGTTCCAGCTAAAGCGGCGCTGCTGGATGGATCCAAGAACAAAGTCGTATTCGCCGGGCGCTCCAATCAGGTGCAAATGCTGGCACAGGGAATCGATGATGGCGTTGGCCGCCGCAAATTCCCCTCGCAGCCATCCAATAAACGCGTCCCGCTGATCGGGAACCCAGTGCCTCTGGTGGTGAGGAACGCTGCTCTTGTCGATCGTGCCGGGAGGGAACTCCCCGAGCTTCGGTGGCGGTACGGCCATGGACACGCCAAACTGCTTGCGCTCGCTCTAGTCACAGAAAGGGAACCTCTCACACTCGAAAAGCCTGCGAGCAACAAACTCCACAGCGTCAGCTCACGATTCCCACATACATTGCATGAAATTCTCGTCGCTCCAAGCCACAAATGCGCACGCTGCCACGCTGCCGTGGCTCGATCGTCACAGATTGTGGCGATCCACACCAAAACCTCGCGTATTTCGATGCGGCGCATGCAAATGCGGCGCCGGGGGGGGCCGAAATATCGCGAATCGGAGAGACCTAGCTAGGATCTAGACGCGAAATCCCTCGCAAGCACAGAAACTCGAGCAAGAAAGATCGAGGAGGCCTTACATTGAGCGATGGCGCATCCGCGACTCCAGCCATAGACGACCTATGCGTGCTCCAGCTCCAGAGCGCCAGCGCCAGCGCCTTCGCTCTTCAAACGGGAAGACAAAATAAAAAAAATTAGGAGTGAGAGTAGCTAGCGAGCAAAGCTCTGTCAAGCTCTGTCACGTTACACGCCCGTCCGTCTCTGTAACGGAGATTGTCCTGTCAAGTGCCAGAATATCCATGTTAGTCCTGTCACGCACCGGAATATCCCATGTTAAGAATGTTGGGTACCATGTGCCACCAAATAACCATCCACGACGCCACAAAATTGGTCCAAATACATTTGCGCGTCTTTGGCACTAATGAATCATATTTAATTTACAGCGACACCCGTACGGCCCGTGATCTTTTTTCCTTGCCCGCGTGATCAGCTCAGCCCGTCCGTACAGTGTCGATGGTTCGAACGAGATCATCGAATTTGGCACCGGCGATCTCTGCCACGATCTTTTTGTGCTTGAGTATCTTGAACGTGGGCACAACTCGTATGCCGAGCTCTTTGGCAAGGGGCTAGAGAAAAAAAAGAAAAAGAAAAAAAGGAAAAAATAAAAAAAAGAAAAAAAGAGTTAAAATTCCATTCCGCAGACAAAGAAATGATAAAACTTGCCTTATTCTCTTGGTTGCAATCCAGCTTGAGAAACATCACGTCCGAGTATCTGGAAGAGAGCTCCACGATCTTTGGAAACATCATTTTGCAAGGGCCACACCTAAAGAGCGAAGAAAAAAAGCGTTTTTCTGTGTCAAGCTTCCGGAAAAAAAGGGAGAGAAGTTTACCATTGGGTGTACATGTCGAGCACCACGACCTTGTCTCCAGCTCCATCAACGAGCGGCCAGAAGCTATCCTTGTCCACCTCTGTAACACCACTCGAGGAAGATTGGCCGCTCGTCACAACAGTGGTAGAGCCGGATCCCTGTTGCATTGCTGCCACCAGAGTTTTTAGCCCGAGAGATCTGGACGAGCAGCTCGATCTCGGTACTCCCAGCGAAGATTTTGGAGCCCCCAAACTTGTAGCAGCAGCTGTGGCTATCGCTCCAGTTCCTGGAGTTGAAGCGAGAAGAGCCATAGCTGCAATCCAACACCACTCAACTCAGCACATCTTTCTTCCTTCTTTCCACTTGGGTTTAGATTTGGATCACCTGGCTCCAAAGATCTTCATCACCTGAGGGCCTCGCAGCATATTCACTTTGCTCTTCGAGATTCGCGAGAGAACAAGTGGCCCGCGTTGCCGGATCGTATTCCGACGTGGAAGATCACCCTCCACACACGCAAATCTGTGACTTTTGTGCCTTGATCAATCTATATGAGAGTTTCGTTTCCTCAGAACTCCTTTAACTTTGAGCTCAAGCACGTAAGTACCTGAAAGAGTTCTTCCAAAGTTCCGTGCCAGTGAACTCTAGCTGTCCGCTTGTTTTCTCTTTGTTTTCTTGCTTCGAGCTTCTTCGAAACAAATTCCTGGATCGCGGATCAAGTCACACAAACCGTGAACTTTGGAGAGAAAAATGCGCAAGTATACCGACAATAAGTAGCTTAGCAGTTCATTGTACAGGTACTGTGAGTGTACAGGTACTCAAGTGTGTGTACACCAACCAGACTCTCAGGAGCGGAGTAAACTTAAGGTTCCTAGACAGGGGTACTTAAATATTTGAGTGTAATCCGCCCCCACTGTGAAAGCGTGTGCAAACTCTGTAAGATGACTGATTGCAAAACAGGAAGGAAGACAAACGAGGAAAGCGAAAGCGAAAGCGAAATCGAAAGGAAAAAAGAGATGAAAAACCAACGTCGATGCGATGAGGATGCAGCAGAAGAACTAGATGAAATGGAGGAGACTTACTTCACCACGAGACCACCAAGTTAAAGCATAGTAAAGTACTTGCCATGAACTAAAAACAGTCCAAGCTGAGAAGTGGTACATCACGGAGCTCTGGTCGATCGATCATCTGTGTGTGTGTGGTGAAGTGTGTGCTCTCTCCCTGTGCCTGTACTTATTCTTTAAAAGCGAGTGGGTGTTTTGGCCTTCTCAACGAGCACGATCCGTCCATTCCACTCTGTCTGATCCAAAGCCTCGATAGCAGCATCTGCATCCTCGTCGCGTTCTAGAGTCAAGAACCCAAAACCCCGAGACTCCCCCGTCCTGGGAAAAAGTGATTCGAGTCAGATAAAACACATTTTTTACCACATAAAAAAAAGAAAAGAAACCAACCTCTTGTCTCGCACTATGCGAACGTCCTTGACTTTGCCGAACTTTGAGAACTTCCTCTCCAGATCCTTCTCCGTGGTGATGAAGTTGAAACCAGCGATGAACAAGTTGTTTCCTGGTTCTCCCAGGCCATTGGTTCGATCCGCCGGAGGAGTCCATGGTCGGCGCCGCGGCGATCGTCTCGATCGGTAGCGCGGAGGAGAGCTCCTCCTCCTCGAGTAACGTTCCCTGTGATCACAACCAAACAAACCATAAGTTCCATATTCTCTATTGCTATGATTTACCTTGGAGAGTAGCCCCGTCGTGGAGATCTCCGGCTGTAAGGACTCCTGGAGCGCGATCGATAGCGTCCCCTGTGCGCCGGGGAGCGAGATCGCGACACCGAGCGGCGCCTTTTCGGGGAATACGAGCGCCTCCGCCTGGGGGAATACGAAGGCGATCTTCTCGCCGGAGACCTGGAAGAGCGCTTCCTGACTGGAGATCTGGAAGGAGAGCGCGATTTCCCCCGCACGGGCGACCTAGATCTGCTCCTGGAGCGCGACGCCGGCGACCGGGACCTGGAACGATCCCGATCTCTCACAGGAGATTTCGAATAACTGCGGCGAGGCGAGCGCGATAACGATCGACTGCGGTGCTTGGCGGCGGCGTGGCCATTGGAAGACGCTGGCTCCGGGGCGGCTCCCTCGCGAGGAGATGGGGAAGAGGACGGCGCCATAGCCAAAGCTAGGGTTTATCTTTACCCTAAAGCTCTAGAGTTCCATCGCTTTTACGTGGGGGTTTATTGACGGTCGTGACGTGGCAAGGGTTCTCTTCTTTCATATGGCATGGGCTTTTTCTTCCAGCGCCATTGCTGCTCCTGCGCGTGGCTGTCGAGCTACGATCGAGTGCAATGCATCGCCGTCGCGCTGATCTACATCCAGGTTTGGCTCTCTCCTCGATCTTCTTCGCCTGGCATCGCAGGTTCTTGCTCAATCGATCGATCTCCTCTCTCTTCTCTTTCTTTGCCCTCGCATTCGCATAGCCGACCGCGTTCTTGCCCTCCTCCGATGTTTTCCCATTGATCGATCATAGCTGTCGGTGCATCGTGTTCTTGGTCGATATTTCGCGAAATCCCTCTCGATCGAGCATGGAAATATCTTCTCTCCTTCACAGATCCTCCGTTTTCGCAGATTCTTTGCGCTGTTATCGGCTCGTTGGGAGCCACATACGCTGGAGTCGCGGTCGCGAATTTGGCAGTAGCACTCTTCGCGTTGGTAGCAGTGGAGAGTGGCAGCCAAAACCTGGGACGAACCTATGCCGGTTTGCTCGCCTGCGCTCTTCTTCTAGACGTTGCTTGGCTCGTCCTCTTCACTCGTGATATATGGTAAGAACTTCTTTCTCTTTCATCTTCTAGAGTTGATATATCGTTTAAACCTCTTGCCAGGCACATCGCCAAGGATCCAGACGCTGGATCATACGTGAAGTTCTCAGTGATGGCCGTCCTGTCGATGGAAATCGCGGGGTTCGTGGTGCGCTTCTTCTCGGCTTTCCTTTGGGTGCAAATGTACAGGCTCGGCGCGTCCAGGGACTTGACAGGGCTCTACCAGCACATTGATTTCGGAGGGATCGGAACTGTGGGTTTCACGACACCGCTCGCCAGCCCCGCGCCATCTCGCCAAGTTTCTGGGAAAGAAGACATTGTTGGTGGCTCCATCTACAACCCCGCGTACTATTCTTCGCTCTTCCAGCCCGCTGGAACACTGGCAGAAGCAAACGTCGAGGTAAAAATCCTCTTTTTCTCTCGAATTCTGGTGGTTTGATCGCTGGTGTTTGCTAGATCGTGGAGGAGAAAACCAATGGAGACATGGCTACCGCGCTAGCTTCTTGTCCAAGTGAACGATTGTAAAGATGGTGGTCTTCTTCGAGGTAGCTTATAGATTCGTTTGATTTTCATGGTTTGATCGTTGGTGATTGCTAGATCGTGGAGGAGAAATCAAAAGGAGACACGGCTTAGCGCGCTAGCAAGTGAGCGATTGTAAAGATGGTGGTCTTCGAGGTATCTTATAAGTTTGTTTATTCGCACACCACACGATGATAATAGGGAGGGGCACAAGTCAGTAGTGATCGATCACTCAAGGCTGGAGAGTTTGCGCTTGAGCAAAGGTCCCGGATTGCTGGAAGACCCTCGCAAGAAGCAGTCGATCGAGTAGAGCGAGAGGGAGAGATTGACCTCGTCTCTCCCCCACGTCGATCGGGGCTGGGACTGGCAGCAATTCCTCTTGAGCATAGGGCCCAAATGGAGGAAGAAGAAGCGACGGAAGCCCCCGAGCGATTCCACCACGGCTCTGATCTGCTGTGCGGAAGAACACGCCGGCACGGGGCCGGATCCCAGTGGGTTCTTGTGGCCACTGGATCGCCGGCTGCGCTTGGCGGCGGCGCCGGGCCAGTGGAGGATGCACAGCGATTCCCACAGCTTCTCGTGCCGCGCCACGCCGCTCCATTGCTTGCTCACGCACGAAACCCTAGCCAAGGAGAAGGCATCCAGATGCTTGAATACCTCGAGGAGCATGTCGTCGTGGATGGGATTGTGTCGCGGGGTCCCCATTCCCGGGCGATGGACGATCCGGCAAGGTCTCTCTCTTTCTTTCCCCCTTATCGCGAAATTTAGGGTTCTTGGGCGGATTTTAGGGCTGCTTTGTTTTTGGCGCCATGGCGATGATGGAGAACAAGGTGAGGGAGGGAGCGATTCGTCTTTTGCCGGATTCTTAACTTACGAGGTTTTGATCGATCCAGTCGCTGCTGTGGGCGCATCCGGAGAAGAGCGGGCAGCTCCTGAAACGCGGGAGCGATATCAAGTCTTGGAAGAAGCGGCAATTTGCGCTCAAGGACACATTCTTGTTCTACTTTAAGATTTTGCCTACAGTGGTACGCTACATTTGTCTTATTCTCTGATGGATGCAAAGGATTTTTAATTTTTTTTGTAGGAACAATCCGAGCCAACTGGTGTGATTCCTTTGCAAGGATGCAAAGTGGAAGCCATTCCGGCTGGAGTCCATGGCATCAAGAAATACTCTTTTATCATCAATCTTCCGGACAAGTATATCTTGACAAAGGCCGTGAAGCGTGCTCTTTATATTCTATCAGCGCACGACGAACCGGACAGACAATCTTGGATTGGTACGCTGGATGAAATTTCGTTTCTCTGTTATCTATCTTCTCTTTTCATTCTTTTCTGTGTGATGTCTCTTTGTTTGAACAGATGCAATTCGTTGTGCCTCTGTATCCAAGCAGATTATTCGCGCCAAGCTCGAGCACTCGAGGCTTGAGGTAAAATCTCTCGTCAAGCTTAATGAAGAGGTAGCTCTGAAAGAAACAAAGACTTTGCGTAGGTTCACGACCTGGAACTGCGATGGAAGGTTGCAAGTGCTCTAGATGCCGGCAAGGTACGTTATCAAATTCTTACACTAAACAAAACCTTTGCCTCTAAACTTTGTTTTTCTCTTCAGAAAATGCCGTTTGAGCTACAAGAAAGCGTTGTCATGCAAGCTCTGGCGGACGAACTTATGGAAGTTTATTACTCGATCGAGCTTTTAAACCAGGCAGGGAAAGCCTTTGCTTTTGCTACTGGCGTTTAATTCCTTGAAATTTCAGAGACTAGAGGAAGCCACGGACAGGTACAGAACAGCCTGCGAGCAACTATCTATGCTAGAGCAAGCCAATGCCATGTAAACTTCTCATTCTTTCTTTTCTGTCTTCTCAGTTTATCTTTCCGGATCAAATGGAGCTACTGAATTGTAGGCACCAGGAAGCTCTTATGCGTGAAGGATCTATGCAAATGATGCATAAGATAAGATCAGGTATGAGCTCTCAAAGTTTGGTTTTAATTTTTTCTTTGCTCACTCGTTTTGTGTTTCGTGTTTTAGATGAAAGTGAATGCAACGGGATCCTCGAGTACTTGGTCGCTGCAAGGATATCATTAAGAACACTTCAAAAGCAGGTAACTCGCGATTTTTATAGAAGCAAAGCTGTGAAAAGTTTTCTACAGGTAGACGCACTGTCTGGCCTCAGTGAAGGTGGTGAAGGGGTTCCATCGTATGTGGATATTGAGGGGCTACTAAGACAAACTTTGGCTCGCCTGGGAACTCTAGAGGTATCAAAAAAGAAGTTTTCAAGGATGATGGTCTCACTGTTTTGGATTTGCAGTACCAAACATGGGGAACTGAGAACTTGCCAGACGAGGAGCAAATTGCGAGCCTCTATGCTGCGATCGAAGCTTGCCACAAACAAGAGAAGCATCTGGTGAACGAAGCAGCTATATTTCTCGGCTATGCTCCAGCTGATGTGGGAAGTCAAGTCACTTTACCTCCCCCAGCAGCTGGAGGAGAGAATACATCCGAAGATCATTGATCTTTCCTACCAAAATTTCCTTTTATTCGGCCTCTGCTAGCTTGGACGACCATCGCCAGTTTTCAGCACCCAAGTAGCACCTCTCGTGTAGCAAAGTTCCTTCATTATCTGGAGCACAGAGATCAAGTATGGGAAGTTTTGTAAGCTTTGAGTACCTTTTGGTAAAGTTGATTCGACGGCATTTTACGTAACGCCAGCTTAAACGCTTCCATGATCTCTGATCGTTGCAAGCCAGCGGACTTTTGCTTCAGTAACGCGATGACCACTTCCCTGCACGAAGACAAGTTAGAAACTACGCACGTAATCTACTTTCAAACGGTACCTAAAAGGGTCTTGAGTGGGATCTCCGAGCTGAGTTAGGAAGTAAACACCGTTGATGTTCGTCGCAATGGTGTCCACAATTGCTGTTAGTTCGGCCACTGGCGCCGACGCTCCTTTGGCAGCTGCTACTGCCGAGGCCTTCTCCTCGACTTTAACGTTGTCTGCTTGAGATTTTGTGATTGCCGATTCACGCAGGCAGTGACAGATGAATTGCAGCCTGTGGAAGTGAGTTACGAGATTATCAAACGTTAGAAAGACAAGGAAAAAAAAAAGAGAAAGAGAAACTTACGTGCACACATGGTGTTTGAGAAAGATTTGCGTGAGTGCGTCCGGTAGAGCAGCAAGCGTTTCCGGTGCCATGCTCGACGAAGTTGAGGGCCTCGGTGGAATGCCTGTGCTTGCTGCAAGGCCGCTGCCTGGCTTAGCACCCATTGCCTTGCCGGACCCCATTTGTTGGACGGCTAGAGCCCTGTCGCTAATGAGCTTCTCTCCTGCAGTCCAGCGTTGGAGCTGATCTTTGGCGATGGAGTTATGACGCTTGATAAAAGTCTTGTCTGTGCTTTCGATGAACTCCCAGCCGCCTGTCTTGATGTTTTGCACTGCGAGAGGAACAAGTATCTCCCGCAAAATCTCCTTAGAGACCCTGAGTTGCTCGAGAGTTTCACGACTGACCACCCGGTTCTTGACAAACTGTAGGAGGATATAGTCTCGAATCGCACACCGACCACCTGTGTAGCGCATATTACTCGTTGCCACCCAGCAGCCTTGCACCAGATAAGCTGTTTTCTGGAGAACATCCAGAACTTCCTCCTCCGTGCAACCTGCCGGAGCCAGCTTCATAAGTCTTTCGAATTGCAGCACATGTACTCGACCCTGATATTTTACCGCATTACAACCTTTAGAAACTCTTCCTTACCTGAGACAAGACAGCGTGCAATCTCTTGTCCAGCGGCAAAGTATCCAAATAGCTGCAAAGTGCGTCGGCAGATATTCAGAAGAAATGAAGAAAATAACAAATTCTAACCTTTTCGAGAGAGGCTCTTTTCCTAGCCCTGGCACGGCTTGTGACGCTGCAGCCGAAGGCGCACGACCAGGGACCAGTTTCTTCATATATTCATTCCTGCCAAAAGTAAGAACAAGTTCTTTTGCATCTGTTCACGACTAATATCACTTACCGAGACATGTCGAAGCGGATGAGATTGTTTGCGGAGGACTTCATTTTCATTTTGATTTCCTTGGTTACAGGACTGTCTAACCCATGCGGCTCAAGTGTGATCCACGCCTGCAGAAGGAGCATGTTAGTAGGAAAACTGATTTAGATAGAAACAGACCTCGGCCTCCTCAAGTTGTTTCAGATGCGCGTATGACATCAATCTAGATTGCTGCTGACGCTCTGTCTCTTGTTTCTTTATTTCCACCTGCAAGTTCGTCCCTGTCAGCTACTGAAGTGGAAAAAGCTAAAGAATGGAACATACCTTAAAAGCCACAGGCTCTGGTTTCTTTTCAGTAGCAGCCCCTTCCTCAGCGTCGGGCATCTCGTCATCACTTTCAACGCGAGTGATATTTTTTTTCTTCTGCTCATCAGCTTCGTTCAGATAACTCAACGACGGACGAAGTTGGACAATCGCATGCAACGGATTCAAGTGGAGCTGTAGAAAGGAGATGCATGAGAACCAAGGAAAGAAGAGAGATGGCAAATAACCTTGTTCCCTTGCAGAATTCCAATGGCATAGTTCGTCGAGAGGTTGCCTTGAGTAGAAGTTAACGTCTGCGTGGAGATCATCAGGAACAACCCATCGATCTTAGCGTTTCACCTGTTTAGCGATTCGGAGATGGTCGTCCGCGGCGTCATCATAGTTGTCTCCAAACCGATCGACTTGGAGATCAACCTCGAGTTTCTGGTGTTGGTGCTTCACGCGAACCTGATAGCAAACTAGAACTCAATCCAGGAAGAAACCACCAAAACGTAGCGTAAAGAACAAACCGCTTCGCATCGTTGTTCCAACTCGTAAGGTCTCCAATACGGTCGAAGAGGATATTGGAGAAGATAGAACTATAGCAAAATCTATAAGACAGAGAGAAAGAGAAATCCATACGCTACCTTGGTGTCTGGATCGGCTGTAGGAGTAATATGGACCTCGATCTCTCTCACCACTGTATCTCCGTCCTCCACAATATCGGCCACTGATTCCATCGTCACTTCCTCTGGAACACTGCTTCCAGCTCCATCCATCCCCTCCCAGACCACAGCTCCATCCTCCATCTTTACCTTGATATCCATTTCGTCGTCATCGAGGATGAAATCCAGAGGCTCCGGCTTGACATCGATCTCCATTGTATCCTCGTCCATCACTGGAGGCAGATCCTCGATCTTCACCTGTGGTGGGGGCTGCGCGACGCTGGAAGCATTGGCGCTGGCCTCCGATCGCCTCCCGCGAGCTGGAACTCGCGGCTTGAATTTGGGCTCCATTGGCACACAAACTTTAGGGTTCTTAGAGCTAGGTTAGATTTTTGGAGCGATCGAAATGTAGCAGCCGAGGTATGGATCGCAGATTCTCGGAGTATACCGGACATGGCGCTGCTGCGAGCGTGTCCAGCAGCGAGCCTTCTTCCACCGCGGTGCCGCTCCAGTTGTTCGTGCGCCAGGAGATCCCTGGCGCCTCAAATCCGGGGCCCTACATTGCGGATTGCTTGCCGGATTTCGCCGGCTATAGCTGGATTGCGCATGGAGCGGGCAGCCAGCTAGTAATATCGATCGTCGCGTCGCCAGACAAGAAGGAGGAGTTTGGGATCGCGCGCTTGTTTCATCAGGCTCTAGAGACGAGGCTGGTCGAGGTATCGGACGAGGATTCTCTTGTCAGTATCGTCAGCTGGGGGAATTCTCAATCCGGGAGCGTTGGGGCTGCCGCTGGAAAGGCGATCTACATCTTTGCTCCCAGATTGCTTGGAAGACCTGAGACACAAAACACTCCAGGTGATCTCTTTTATTTTCTTCCTCGCTTCATGGAACTGGAACTAAAACTCTTTCTTTGCAGCTCTTCCGCTAGAATGGGAGCCCAGGAGCATGCTCGTCCATGCTTTTCCTGTGACACATTTTTCATGGAGCGGATCTGGCGATGGTATACTTTCGTCGGCTGGATCAAAGATCTCGATGTGGAAGCAAGACGATGATGGGTCTGGTAACTGGGTTCCCGTTTGGCAATCTTTGGTGGAGTGGCCTCAAGCGCTTGTAGCTGCGTCGTGGTCGTATAGGGGTCTCGCAGCGTCCGCGGACATGGATAACTTAGCAGGAAAGGATCTTAGAGGAAAGGCTACAGTGTGGTGGTGGCAAGAAGGCTCAGAGGCACAGCCAGTGGAGCTTTCTCATCCAAGGCAAGTTCTTGCTATACAGTGGAGGCCCGTGTCAAGGCAAAACGGAAAGGTGGTGGAGGAAAGTGAGCATCACAGGCTGATACTACTTACGTCTTGCCGAGATGGAGTTGTCCGGCTGTGGCTGGAGATTGACAGTGGGAAAGCAAGAGCTGACAGCGCCATGGTCAAGCCGGCGTTTTTCGTCAGTGCCTTGATCGAAGTGAACACGAGCTTGCAAGCAACACTGGGACTGGACTGCTTTGTGACTTGGGGGTTGGAAAAATCGCTGGGAAGTAGTTTCGCCACGGGGAATTCGACAGAGGTTGCGGCTTGTGAGTGGATCGTGGGGACGGGGCCTCGTGGAGTCGTTGCACTTTGGTCTTTGCATTGCCTGGACGATGTGTATCCTCCGCGCTGTCCTCGAGTTTTACTGTGGCAACAAGGGACGTTACGTTTTCTCGACTCGGAACCAGACATCGCAGAGAATCCATGTTTTTTCAAGGCAGTGATTCAGAGAGCTCAATCCTCGGTTCCGCCAACTTCGGTGGACTTGTTCGAAGTTTACGATGGAGGTCTGTTGAGACGCTCTCGGCTTTGGCCCCCGGTCACTTCCATTGGCGGTGGTAGTGGTCTTGGGAGGAGAGCATCCGATACAACGGGGTTGACGAGTAAGATCAAGATTGGTACGTGGGGACGCTCTCACGAGGATTTCCTCACGTTCGGTCACACCGGGGATAAGATAAATCTTGCTCTACATCCGGCTCGTGCAGCAAGAGTGGCAGCATCCGTTGACAAAGCAGGAACTCTTCTACTTTGGCAAACTAGCCTTCCTCTCGAACCTTACGTCGAGGCTCCGCATTTGCACGTATCATCCTGGAGACTCTGTGGCAGATTGTCCATACAGACCGAAAACTTTCTGCCGGCACTCTGCTGGTCTCCGGCTCTACTTTCGGGTGATAAGATGGTGTTAGTGGTGAGCCATTCCGACAGCATGTCCTGTTATCTCGTAGTAAGGGACAGATCGAAGGAACAACACTGGCTCGCATTAGATCTGCTATACGAGTTGCGGCCTCCAGTGTCTCAAGAAAAGCTGGTACTGGAAGACGTGTTCGTGATCCAGAACTCTGCACAGAAGGATCAGTCGGTTCTTGTTCTTGTTGCTTGCGGGAACAAGGGAAACGTGGCGATGTCCTGGACCTTTAACATCATCTTATGCGAAAAAGATGGTGAAGAAGATCAACAAAACTCTCGACAGTCGGGCATTCCTTACAAGGGACCACTAGTGGGGGCTGAAGAAGCAATCTACACAACATGCTTCTGGACTGGCTATATGTTTATGGCTCCTGGAGAAAGACTCTTGAGCGCAACCTCCCATTATCCGTCACCGTATGATTTCGTTTCGGGCTGTGAAGACGGGTCTTTACGGCTCTGGCGAGTAACTCTGCCGGAAAATCAGCATCTCAACTCCTGGGAGTGTGTTGGTCGACTGACAACAATTTCTTCTGAAGGGTTCACTTTG